GGCGTATTCTGTATAAAAAACTGCATAGATGCATGTATTTTGATCGAGGGAGATTGGGTGGAACATGAAAACATTCGTTACAGGTCCTCGATGGTCTCGTGGACTGTAAACAGAAATGATTGCATGGACTTCTCGATTCTACGTCTCTATTCGCTAAAATTTTGAGAGAACGAAATAGCAGCAAGAAATTTTTGTGAAAAGTTGATACTTTATCGATGACGTGCACCATAGCACAGCAAAAGGGTGCGCAAGGAATAATGTCATGGCTCATGGACACGATCATAGCTTGGTCATATCTATCATGTATGTGTCACTCAGCAAGTGATAGTCGATGGTGGGTGCGCGGCTCGTGAAGTGAACCAGGCATTTACTGTAGTTTGACTAAACGTGAATAACATACTACTTCATACTGTACTGTACTTCCCGTACATCTGTAACCACGATTTTGGACTGGTGAGTAGTAACCATGAGAAAACACAACATTTTATCCATGATCAATGACTTGTAACTAACTGTAAACAGAAATGATTGGATGGATTTTGGACCTGGGCCATGTCAATCGGGGAATTCTTCTCAGAATTGTCTACGAGCGATACAGCAAACTGTAACCCCTCGTTAAAGGTGAGGTGGTCAGATTTTACTATAAGTCCCATATAAACACCAATTTCTGAGAAAAGAAACACTCGAACTGCTTTACTACTGTTAATCGGGGAATTGTTCCAAATCTGATCACATATCGTACTATACACATAGGTGTGTCCAAATGAGAATGCAAAAGAACTCCACGCTGCCCCCCAAACACGAGCCCCCAAACCTTGCACTCATTGTTGATATTGCTTCATGAAGACCATTGCCATTCTCGCGCTTGCCTCGTCGGCTGCAGTATTTGCGGCGGGGGATATCAACCTGAACGAAACCACTACTACTGGTTTGTTGCGAGGCCCCGACAGAAAACTCCGCACCAACGCCCAAGTCCAAGGGATCCAAGACGACGCGGACGTCAACCGCAAGTGCCATACGACCAACGGCGGGTACCTCCAGACGTTGAAAGCTGGCTAGTACACGGCCAGCAAATTCCACAATTGTTTCCGCACGTCGGACCAAATCTTCGATTACGTGGATGCGTTGGTGGCACAGAACCCAACTTTGTTGACGAAAGAAAAGATTTCGTGCACCGTTCGAGGCAAGGCTATCTACGCGTACAAACTGACCAGCGGCGCATCTAAGCCCAGGTCGTTGTACTTTCAAAGCCTGCTCCATGCCCGGGAATGGATCGCTGGGTCGTCCAACTTGTTTACGTTGTCTTCGATTCTGGACGACATTGCCAACAAGAAACCCACGGCGGTGGACGCGTTCAACTTGTACTTTGTGCCGATCGTTAACATTGACGGGTACGATATCTCGTGGACGAAGGGCAAGCGGTTGCAGCGCAAGAATGCCAACGGAGTCGACCTGAACCGCAACTGGCCGACTCCCTTCAAAAACGCCAAAGCCGTACCCCTATGGTCTGAACTTTACCCGGGCAAGAATCCGGGGAGCGAGCCAGAAACCAGGGGGATTGGGGCGTGGCTCCATGCCAAGAACTCTGAACTCGCCGGCTGGGTGGACGTGCATTCCGTCAAGGGGTTGATCTTGTACCCTTATGGCGACACGACGCAACCCATCGGCAACGGTGACGACGCCAAGTTTGAACGGCTCGGCCGAAACGTTGCCGCCGCAACCGGTGGCGGCTACACGGGCCAGACGGCGGCTTCCCCTCCCCTTGAACCTGCGATCGGGGCGTTCGACGACTACCTCTATCGAACGTACAAGAAGCCCGTGTTGACCATCGAAGTGGCTGGTACTCATTTTGCCGCCCATGTGTCGACCATCCGTACCCGCGGCACGGAAATCTTCAAAGCGCTGACTCAATTTGCCAAGGAAGTTTTGATTTTCGAGGGCAACGGCGGCGAGATTGTCCAAAGAGGGCAACGGCGGTGGGATTGCCTTTCCCAAAGATTGATCAATCAAAACAAGTCGGACGTGGTGGAAGGTGATGTGGCGGAGTTGCTGGTATCCGATGATCCAACCCGCCAATAAATAAACCACTCGACCATTTTCACCAGAAATACTTATTCAACACCTCATAGATAGCACACAAATAACTTTACTTCTCCATGCAAAGAGGTAGAATGATGAAACGTCCAGGATATACGAACGGGATATATCGTATTGTCGTTGTGTCCATGTTTCATCGCTGGCATAAATGCAATGCGTCATCATCGATAGAGTTTAGGAACTGATGGCCAACTCCGGAGTGTACGTCCGGTTCCAATGCACAATTGGTGTGGTGCATTCCATCTATAATCTATCTAACTAACGACGTCTTCATAGCCTGGCGGGTGATGCACCATATGTTATCCTTCGCGTGCCGCGGTTGTGACGTCGTACAGTAACATCAAAACTACGACGAATTTTTGAGAGGACCTGGAAATACTCAAAGAGGATGGATCCTACGCTATGGATTGCACCAATATGAAGCAAAAAACGGTGATACTGTACTCCTGGAGTATACTACCAATAAGAAATCGAACGTGACAACTATTATGCGCCAGATTTGGAAGTACTTTACAAGGTACATTGGAACCACTGCATGGGTTTGCGGTCGCTTCCCCACCAGCCATCGCCGTTCTGAAACGCGGCATCCATGTGGTTGGCGCGCGCTTTGTAGTGCAAACTCGTTTCAGCGTGGGACCCAAATCCGTCCCAGTCCCCCGGTACAACTGCTGAAGTCCACGAGGCCATCGACTTCAGGGTGATCGTGGAAACTCCACATGGCCACCCACCAATTCCGCAATGAGTTGAACAAGCTCGACACGCCCACAACCCCAAACGTATCGATACCGCAAGATAACCTTGTGACGTGGCGTGCCCAGGCGTGTTGGGCGTCTTTGAACTTTTGCTTCATGGGTACGGCTACGGTGGACATGTGCCTCATCGATAGAATAGCAGGGGGAGCTGGGCTCATCGATCCTATGGCCACAGAGAGTGGTGCCATCCATTCGTTTTGGCACACCTTTTCAATGCAATTGCTGCTCTTGGTGCCTTCCATCGGTGCAGCAATCGAAATCCAATGCACGTTCTTTGCCATGTTGCACCGACCAGAAGCCAACGCGCCACTGGCAATCAAATTGCCCATGGAATGGGCCACCAAGATCAACTTGTCGATTCGTCCAGAGTAGGTCGACCTGCTAACGTTCATCGCGGCGCGCAAAAGTCGTCCTGCAGCGACGGGTGGTCCCATCCGCGGTTGATGGTCTCGATGCGAGCAAAGCGAACCGACGAGCAGCAAGGGGCGTTGTGGTGGATCTGGCCCCAGTAGTTTGGGTACGAGTCTTACAACGGGAGGGTCTGTGCCTCCCCAAGACCGTGCATGAACAGGCGCGGCATTTTCTCGGGCAATGTGCATCTGCACGGTGAGCTGGAGGCATCAGGCGAAGCTTGTGGAAGACAAAGCTGTGCGAGCCCCGCAAGCAGCACAAATAACAAGGATGAGGCAACGAATGGATGGAGGCGGAAGGCGTGAAGGTGCCGTCTAAGATCCGGGACTGTGGCCATGGTGTGCAATTTCAACAACTGACAGATGCGACGTGGCGTGTCGATGACGGTGGCCACATCCAACCACTACGTAGTAGTTTGTAACATATGTCTGAACATCAACTGAAACATCGACTGACCTTCAGTCTTGCGACTGGTGGTTCATCGAAGTGCAATTAACTGCCGTTTTCTGTTCCAAGTCAAAAGCCATGCTGATGTAAAGCATGGCTAACTAGTTACTTTGAAGTACATTACTATGCGCGTTCTACATATTCGAGTTGTACAGCACAGCTGTATGGTTCGTACCTCGTGGTGATACTGTACTCAAATATTGACATATACTAGTAGTACTGAACCTACTGCATACTAGTCCTAGTAGTACTACGTAGTACGAGTGCAGTACTACCGGTAGCGGTTGAGTCAGTAAGACTATGGGTCGTGCACAATTCTTGTAGACTCGTTCATCCAATGTAGGCCCTTGTATTCTGCTGTTATAGCTTCAACACAAACCTCTCGGTCGTTCGGCCTGGCGAGGCGATCACGACCACAACACTTCATCCCTGGATTTAATCGATGGCAACTCGATACTCCAGGTGTTGAGGGCATTGCTGCGTTGTGATTTTAACTATCTCGCTGTAGTTTCTCCAGCCACGCCCGCCATCACCTGAAACATGCATGTGAGGACCCTTCTGTATTTCTGTAATTCCATCGCATCGATTCATACCTCTTCCAGCTTGGCTCGATGTGCCAATTCTTCTTTGGTCAGCTCGGGGAACGTGGAGCTACACGTTTCCCTTCGCTTGCGAATCCAACCCACCATCTCGTACGATTCCATGGTCAAACTCGCCAAGAGGGGCTGCCACTACGTTGGCAATTACTCGTCAATCGATATACTTTGAACTACTTCGCAAATACTAGTATTCTTCGATGCGTCGTAGTTGTACCTGCAAGTCGATTTGTTTCAGGGGCTTGACATCCCCTCCGAGGAGAATGTTGTGTGATTGCCAAGGCTACATCCACAACAATGATGAGATGTCGGGGGAGACAACGGACGGCCTACCTTGAGCCGATTCTGGTCGTTGTGAATACACAATAGTCCCACCAACACCTGCATTTGATCGTCCAAGAGCACTTCTTTGGCCGTTGTTTCCGGTTGGGATTCGGGTGGGGTCAGCTCTGCCTTCTTTCGGCTGGTCATTTCTTCAATCACAAGCCCCGCGGGGGCAAAAACTAGCGAGAGGATCTGTAGCCACTCGATCATTCCATCCTCACAACGCGTTGCCCCTATGTATGTCGGCACCCTCGTCAACAAAAAAACAGAATGTTTCACGTATACCGCCAATTCTTACACATGGACATGTCATCGTCAGCTGTGTCCAGCTCGCGTATTCGCTGGGTCGACCGATACATGCCGCACAACATGTACAGCACATCCATTTTGAACTGCCAGAGGCGCGCGCGGGACACTTGGATTGCTTTGTACAGCGCCGAAAAGCACTCCAGCCCGTGGAGGACCATGGACCAACACATGCATTGCATTGGCCGCGTCGTCACAGCATTGCCAAACGGCATCGCACATGCAGAAACCACCCGAGAGACGAGACTGTCGACGCGAAACACGAGACATTGTACCCCTGCCGAGATGCGCGAGTCGCCAAAGTATGGCTTGACACTGCTCCATCCGTGTTGGGCCACGTTGGGAAAGTACGATTGCGTGCATTCTCGCCGCCACTATAGCATTCAAATCGCATAAACGTCAACTTCAAACGTCAACATGGTTTCGAAGTTACCTGAGCATAAATGCAGGCCAGGACCGTGTGTTTGGTGGCTAGGATGGTCGCGCACACCTTGGCAAACGTGTCGTGGGTCCATTGTGTGGTCGGGGTTGGGGCTCTGTCAAAGATCTTGGCTTGCGTGTGCGTCTGCCACGTGTCCAACATGAGACCTAAACCCACCGCGGTTTCCACGAGCGACTCCAACGCTGTCGTCGTGTCGCCCATCGTGGATTTGGCAATTTCGCGCAGAAACACACTCAATTCTTCTTGTATCACTTGCACAAACAGCCGCGCGATCGACATGTGCGCGTTGGACCGAATGCACATATGCAAGCAGTCACTCACGTCGTACATGATGGTGGCGACGGATTCGCAGCGGGCGCGGAGGAGATGCTCCTGAACGCGGACGGGGTACCCGTACACGCCCGTGTCGGCATTGAACTGGCCCACTGCGCGAGACTCCAAAACTATCTCGCGTCGGGTCGCATCGTGGATCGCCGATCGAAGGTACCGCGAAAAGATAAAGTCGGCCGGTCGAAATGGGTTACTCAAGGTGGCCCACATGGCCGATTGGACGTGGCGACGGCAGGGGTCGGGGCAGTACCCCGACATGACGTGAGCTGCGGTGTTAATTTCGTCGACTAATGCCAGCCACTTCTTCCCAGCGTGGATGCGGCACTTGGGATCGCTTGGAGCCATTCGAATATGCGTGTCCAGGGGCAGCCACGACTCGAACAGCGACGCCGACGGCGTGAGCACCACCTGACACGAATTGTCATCCTTTCGGTAGCTTTCAATTGTCGCCTCAATCCACGTCGGAGACGGGGCGTTGGCAGGGGACACGAGGGCCAGGACTGCCCACCCGATGCAGGCCTTGATGTCGACTCGAATTTTCTTTTTACATCGCGAATGCACGGTTTCAAGGTCCCCAAAGAACACATAAATACCATTCATGAGCACCGCCGGCGCCGACGTATCCGAGAACTGGAGGCTGCTGACGGCGAACTGCAGCCACACGCCGTGCTGGCTCGGGTTCGCCAAAAGAACATCAACGTCACCCTGTCCCCCTGCCTTGGTCCCCCGCGGGGACGCAATGCTGAACCTGAATGACCGCCCCAACGCCCCTACATTTGCCAACGAATTGCTCGACCCAAGCAGCGACCGGTTTGCATGGGGGGCGTACGGGTACGCATACTCTCGAGACTGCGGCTGCACCACGTACGCCGGTGCATACGACACGAACGGCAGCTGCAACGACTGGCTGGACTTGTCCATCCACCCCGTGGAGTCTGCCACGAGGGCTTTGATCCGCGTCCCCAACAGCGCCCGAAGCGTTGGGCCGTACACCGAGTCTACGACTTGATTCATGCGTTCGATGGCGTCTTGTTGGATGTCGGGGGCGGGAAAGATGCTCAGGGGGGCGCCGTCGCAAGGGATGCAAAACACGTCCAAGTCCTCTTTCAGCAATGCAGGCATGTGTCGGAGAAAGTTGTCGAGCGAGTCGGGCGATCGGGTGACGAAACTGGCTCGCCTCGTGTCGAGGTAGAGCTGCCACGCGTCGGGGGTCGGGTTCAGTTTGATGTACGTGACCAGCAGCTGAATGTCCCATTTGGTTTTGGACGCCACGACGTCTGTGATTTGCGTCCACATGCCTTGGACGAGTTCGGTGCCGATGAGCTTGAACCGATCGTCGAGGGGCCACTGCGACGTGGACGACCCATAAGACATTTGTTTGAATAACGTGTTTTGCACCGGTCGTTGGGCGCGTAGCTTGACACTGGCCACTTGCGCCTCCAAGAAGAGCCGAATCGCATCGTCGACATGGCCATCTTTCGGTGCACTGGGTTTGCGCCTGGTCATCGTCGTGGGTTCGTGCAACAGCGTTGTGACCTCGCCTAGCATCTGCCGCACCTCGAGCTCATCAGCTGGACACCCCGTGTTGTCTCGTATGCTGGGCAGCAGCGACTTCTTCATATGCGACGTTGTCTGCTTATATTGCTGCAGCCGCCAATAAGGAGTTCTTCGGGCGCGGTTTCAGACTGAGTCCGTAAAACGATTGTGTAACTGGCGAGACGCACACGGTTACGTACAGGTAGCACCCAACACGCCAAAACATGCAAAATATATGCAAAGGGGGTCATGTTGTTAAAACGAATCCTCGTCGGGTTGCCATGTACTGTGGGCAGTGTCTTCCATATGGCCGAGACAAAGGTCGCTGAACTCGCTCGGGCGAAAGCTGTCGGCGTCGTCGCCATCGTCGTCCTTATCATCCACAGGTCGCTTGGCGTCTTTAAACCGAACACGATCGTGCTCGGCTTGCATGATTTGCTTCATGGTTTCTTGAATGCCAGGGGCCATGCCATGGGGGAAAAGTTTGTTCAATGCGGCGTTTTCGCGCTTACGGGGTGAATCTTCAGCCACGACCACCCCGCTACGATGCAAGTGCACTTTGGCCATGTACTTGACTGAAGCTTCCAAGTTGGCCGAGAGGATTTCCACTTCTTTGCATATGCGACGGTAGGCTTCGTACCCCCGGGGCAGGTCGGAAACCAGCTCGGCCACCTCGTCTTGCAGCATGTAGCAAAACTTGATGCGGTCTTCCAAGTCCTGCACTTCAGCCTGCGATGCACTGTTGACGCGCGACAATGTGTTCACCATGTGCACTTGGCGCTGGTATTGTTCCAGCGACAGCTGTGTCTTTTCCAGCGTAATGACAGTGTTGGGTGGGTCCAATTGTTGGCCATGATTCAACGTCTATTAATTCATCAAATCGGCCCGATCAAGGAGAAAGTGGAACGGTACCGAAAGAGGGCTGCGAAGGGGGGACTTTGGAGGGCTGGGGGTGACTCGGCATACGACTGACGCTCGATTGGGCGAGCTGGAGCCTGGTCGAAGGCATGGAAGGGTTGCGATATGCTCCTGAAGCAACTTTGGGACGGCAACCTCCAACGCCTGTGCATACGTTGTTAGGTGAAGGTATATTTACCAACGTCAGTCATTTATACCAGGTTCGGGTACTTTTTCAACGCCATTATTCCCATCGCCTCTAAGAACATGGCGTATGTGATCCGTCGTTCTCGTTTGAGTTTCACTTTGCAAAAGGTCAAATCCACGTCGACCAAGGTAAACGATGGTCCAATCAAGTGGGGGCAATCGCGGCAAAACTTGGCAAAGTTCACATTGTCTACGACGATGTTCATTTGAATTTCATTGCTCGTGGAAAGGTCGTACCAAGGGTTACGTCTGTGCTGCAGCCTTGGGTACTGGTTCGCCCAAACCGACAATAGTACTGAAACACAGCGCGGAGTAACGTGTGTGGGTCGTTGGTGTCGCCTTGGAGCACCACGGCAGGAGGGGGGGGCGGGGGGGACTCGACATCTGCCACAGACATGGAGCGCTGCAGGATTCGAGACTTTTTACGCTCTTGGTACAGGTAATGGGGGTCGTTTGGGTCAAACGTACGCTGCTGCAAAAGGGGGAGAGATGGACATGAGCCTCAGTGGCCACAACCATCAATATGCAAGCATGCTTACCTCGCCTGGGGCTGCATTTACAAGCACGATTGGAATCGGTCGGTCAAACGTGAGCGGGGTGAAGTCGTCTCGCTCCATGGTCTCGAGCACAGGTGTTGCAACAAAGCGTAATTATAGCACTGGAAGGTTGAAACCACGACTCGTTACAACTGCAAGTTCACAACGTCAAAGTGTCACAGGAGTCGCGGGAAGTAGAGTGGTTTCCATGAAAGGCAATTTGAAATTCGCTATCCTGCCCATTCAATTGTTCCATCACATCCACACCACGTCGAGGCCCCTTAAACTTCTCTGATCAAGTGACGTGGATTCAGACGATCCTCTGCCTAATCGACGTGAAGGAACACAAAACGTGTATGAACCATAGTGCAATAATGTCTGGGGAGCACAGGCTTATCTATATGCGATTTGGGCGTGTTCCCCCCCATATAGTTGGTTATGCGTCCTGCACACTTAATCTTGACCACTGGGGTACATGATCGTGATAGGTAGGCCGATACCACACTGTCAGCTTGCTATACTTGGGGTGCGACATACACAATGGAAACACAAGTACATGAGGCAGCGAATGGTTTCACACTTTTGTTATCGGCTTCACAACAGGACTAAGGCGCCGATACAGATGATTACACTGGTGACAGCTCCTGCAGTAGCTGCGGATGTAGTCATCAAGGTTGAAAAGGCGGTTTCCATCATCCCTGCGATACCAATAGAGTTTAAAATCGCTCCGACACCAGGAAACAATGCTCCAAGCACACGCATCAACCAACTGGAAACAATCCCCACAATCGGCACAGCTACTGCGCCACCCACGGCAGCAAGGGCAACCATCCCCCATATCGCAAGGGGATACTTGGGTTTGTGGGTTGCACGCGGCTTGACTGATGCGGCTGCGGCCGCCGGCTTCGGGGGCTTGTTAACCTCTGGCTCGTCGGATTTGTGCGTCATGGCGAAATTGGGGGAGTGTGCTCGGATTGGAAAGTGCATTCACAGGTCGTTTTTACAACGGTCGAATCTTGGGTGACAATAAGCAAACTGTCACATGTCATACGAATTTGAAGGTACATCACTATCTTGTTTAATCGAGGGATTCACTCTTTTATTGTTTGTGAAGGCATGTTACCAAATACTACTTCGAAGTACATGTTATGGGCATAACGTTAGGCTTACAATTTCGCACGTGTAGGGACTGGTGCACCGTGGGTAAACGCTCTGCACCAGCAGCACCGGTTACACCGCCTGTGCTGACGTGGACACCAACGTAGCAGCAGCATATTGTAACGTCGCTGCTACTCCAACCAGCGGCGTGAATCGTTCCTACACCTGCCTTGATCACTCCAAAGTACGACATGGCAGACGGAACCAATCCGCCTGCCACCAAGCCAGTTGCAGGTAGCACGACAGCACCAACGGTACCATCACCGCTTGCAATGCCCGGTTGCTCGTCCCTGGGCTGCTTAGGAACTCATGACTCGTAATGACGTCGTACTGGCAGACCTGGTGCGTGGACAAAACTCAATCCCTCCATCCCCGACCGAGGCGTTGTGGTACATGCCTCGGTTTGTACAGGAGGAGATCCTGCAAAGTAACCCGCGATTGGCGCAGTAGCTCCCCTTGCCATATCCGATTCACAACCCACTGTGTCCGATGACAGGTGCCGCAGCCCCACTTACGGCATCAATGCCATACCCGATCCACGTACGATTGGCAGCCCCACCGACACTCGCTTAAGGTGGTCCTTCATCTGACAGGATTTCCGGTCCGTAGTATGATCTGGTTTAGGCCTAATTAACATACAGTAACAAATGATACGGTATTAATAGTTTGATAAATTTTGTATATTACCCCAAAATATGATAAAAAATACTAGGAATTATTGACTCCTCACCATTGGAATATTTCTATAAATATTAATAGTATACTAACGTTATAAATACTCGTTGTGTTATTACAATAATAATGCCACCTTATTTTAAATTGGATTTATTAATGCTCGAAAATAATTGATTCAACTGTTATTAATACCAGTAGTGATTATAACAATGTGTTGTTGCTATAATGTTGGGAGAAGCATGTCGTACTTCATCGAATGTAGGGGATAAACCAGGCGTACTTAATGGGGACTACTTTGATCTCGATTCCATTCCTGGCTTCTCTGCCAAGCAAGCACAAGTCCGACAAGTCGCCCGCTGCGATGAGCTTTGCTGACTTCGCAGCCAATGCACCTGCCCTTCCAGGGACGACGTCGTCGAATGTACCGGCTGTCTCGGCATCGTTGTCTACCAAAAACATCCCCCTCTTGGACAAGCTGAGCTTGAAACTGGAGCAATATCAGAGGCAGGTCGGTGCCGTGCGGCGGCAGGCGCAGAACGCACCTACCTCCATGGAAGGCCAACAGGACTTGGAAGATCGCATAAAGTTTGCATGCATGCTGCAGGACGAGATCGCCAGGTTGTTGCCCCAGCTCCCTCGGTCGCCTGCCATGGAAGTGAGTCGGCGAAAACTGCTCAAGGACTTTGAGCGCATCTCAAACCAGTTAGAATCATCGGTCCAGGATGCAGCGAATGCGCAAGTGAAGCAATCTGAAGCCATGCGGCACGAAGTCGAACGCGGGGATGCATCATCCAGCCTCCATGCGACCGTGAATGGCCAAGTGATTGAGTTCAAGCAGTTGGACAATGAAATTGCACACAATGAAGCGCTGATTGAAGAGCGGGCCAAGGACATCGACCGTATCCACAAGAGCGTGGCGCAAGTGAACGAGATCTTCCGCGACCTCGCGGCCATTGTTGGGGACCAACAAGGTGCCATCGATGACATTGAGAGCCACATCGATGAGTCCCTCGCCCAAACCCAGCAAGGGCTGGCAGAAGTCAAGAAAGCAGCCGCGAACCAAAGCAGCTGCCTTATTATGTAGAAGGAGTTGGATCTGCGTAACACGTGCGAATAATTTATGATCACAACATGGCTCTACACCGCATGACTTCGTCCATGTGCAATGTATTCCATGACCGATACGAAGCGGAGCCCTGGTTCAAAATTGTGTGCGGGATTTCATTGGGCAGCATAAACCACGTCCACCAATCCAATCACTGATCGAAGATTCAAACGATGTGGATTGGACAAAATTGAAATAATCCAAGCGACACCTTCCACGTTTCATGAAACGGCCCGTTTCACGGCTGACTCGCAGAATATGGGAGTCGCGTGCCATCAGTCGGATGTTCCAAAACGAAGGATACACATAAACCCTTCAGTCACTTTTCCATCTTCCTCGTTCTTCCCAGGCGCTTGAACATCCATGCATCATCATCGGGCTGTTGTATGTGTGGCCGCTGCGTTCCTCGCGGCAGTTCCACTCGCAGCCGCGCAGGACGAAACCACTGCGCCCGAGGTGCTTGTGACTCGGCCTGGCATTTGCCGAGGGTCAGGCGCGTCGGCAGATTGCACCAAGTACGGCACGGGCTATTCGTGCGTGTCTGTCGAGTCCAACATTGCCGGCATGTCGTTGCTATCCCAATGCGTCCGAGGGCAGGCGTGCGGGGGGAACGTGAACGGCCAATGCCCTACGTTTACCAGTTGGCCCGCCAGCACCCGCGTGGTGCAGCCGATTTGCGCGTTTACCGAAGTCCCCAACTGCGAAAACGCCCTGAACGCAGACGGCACGTCGGTGGTGGCTGCCAACTCGAACAAAACTGTCACGTGTTTTGAAGCCAACTTTGCCAGCGGCACCTTGACCAAGACAGTGAATGGCATTTACAAGTGCGTGGACCAAAAGATGTACCGCGACAAGGCCATGGGGTTTCTCGATTTGACCGAAACGCACCTCAAGTCGTGTGCGGGCAACATCACGACCGACAACAACGGCGTCCGTGTGAACCTGGGGCTATGCAACTCCCACGGCACGTGCGCCCCCAAGTCGCCCCTTAGCAGCGAATACGGCTGCATTTGTAACGCCGGCTACACCCCCACCGACAACTGCTTTGTGGCCGTTGGCAACGTGTGCGATGGGTTTGGCCAGTGTGGCAGCAACGGGGCGTGCAGCCCCACCACCGGGCAATGTGTGTGCAAGCCCGGGGCCCGAGGCAACCAATGCTCGCTGTGCGACGCCACGGCCCCAGCCGAGTCTGTCTGTACGAATCGCGGCTCGTGTGGTATCGACGGCACGTGCCTGTGCACGTTGGGCTACGAAGGACTGCAGTGTGAAACTGTGTCCAAACCTGTCAAGTCGAACAGCACTGACTCGACGTCGGTCACACCGTCGACGAGCAGCAGCCCCGACGGCAACCGTCATACGTTGGTGACCAAGGCAGGGGGGTTAGTACTGGCTTTCGTGGTCGCGGCGTTGGTATTCGTTTAAACTGACGTAATTGCAACCTTCTACTGTGAATGTCTCGTTTTATACTCCGAGTATTATTTATGAGAACGTGGATGGATTTACGGTAACTTACGGTGATTACTGCGACGAACAAACCCACACTGTGAGCTTGCCACAATCTGTGAGTTTTCGGTCAGCACTTTGCAAATGTATGTAAGTACAGTAGCCAAGGTGGAAAGTCTGTCTTGGGGGAATACTGTCCAATACTGTAATTTGCTAATTCAACGAATACTAGTGCTGTATTTTGCTAATTCAACGAATACTCGTGCTGGATTTTGCTAATTCAACGTACATACTCTCGACGCTCGTTCCCAGGTGTGGGGGATGCAGGAGTAAACTATCCAAGTCGTCATAGGCAGTCATAAGATCACTAATATCTATGAACAATGAAGACAACAGGTGATCGTGGTGGCGGATGTCGGCGTTTCGACATGTGCAGATGCAATAGCCCATTTTAAATACTAACTAGTTAGTAGTTTACTGCTACTGTAGTATGTTCCTCTCTAAATGCCAAGGTGGCGTCCGTCCCTAGGACTCTGCCAAAATCCGATGGTAGTAGTACGTTTCGATGTGGTGGACTTGCCAGTTGGCAGGGAGCAGCACACGCTGCGCCACGTCAGGGCCCACAACGATGTCGTGGATATTGTCCCAGCACAGCTCGACGAATTGCTGGCACATCATGCTGTTAATCGTGCTTGCAAGCAGCGTGAAGCGTTCGCGGACGCGCTTCCTCGGTAGGTCCTCTTGGCTAGGCCAAAAGTACCACTCCACGACCAACGTATCCCCTACAGTGTAGAACGAACATTCAGTTTCCATCCGTCCTTCGTCGTACTGTACTAGGATGTATACCCTGGTTCTCTTCCCACGCTCGAGTGCCACACAAGTGGAGGCCACTGCCGAGTGTTGGGAGCCCACAGGGCCCCATCAGTTGATGGGGGTGACTTTGGGGCAGCTGGTCCAGTCGAAATGCTGTCCATGGCGCGTGCACTGAGCACTCCCATTGCATCTACGTCCCCAATCAGTCTTGCCATATTTTGCACTACCGGTACTGTACCGATATCAGGACATATCGTATGGTCGGAATCAACTACGTACTACAGTATGTACCAACCTACCTGTACAGTCGAGGTGTCGCCACCACTACCACCCGTGCATGTCCATATTCGACTACCCATTTCGAGCAAATGCTGGTGAATGAGCTGGCCATGCTGCACGGGTGTATCCCGTTGCCACCGACCAAAGATGGGCTTGGAACTGCTTCGGGCGTCGTGCGCAACTGGTTTGAGGCTGTCCCGCCAAGTGGTCTACCAGAATTGATATGGGACAAACACGGCAAACATTTACGGTATTACTAAATATATATTGATTTGCATGGGGTGTGTGGTTGGTGGTACTGGTACCTTGTTCACTTCGGCGGCCAGTGTAGTGTAATGATGAAACCACGGGTCGTAGTAGCCTTGGGTGAGGTCGCACCAGGGAAAGGCCTGTTGGATGTGGCCAAGAACGTGTCCGATGGTGAGCTGGCGGCGGGTCTCGAGGTCCTCGCTCGCTTGCTTCCACATCAACCACAGCAGTTGACGAAACGAGCGGTGCAAATCCACCTGCCCTTGTTCCAAGCACCCTTGGATGAACTGAAGCGTGGTACGCGTAAACACGTGGGTATCGAGCAAGTCGATCAAGACTGCGTACGTCGATGGGGCGGTCGCTGAAATGTTCAATGTCCCGCTTCGGGCGTATACTTCGGCCAGCTGGAGCATTTCCTGGACGGCAGTGTGCATGAGCTCGTCGTCTTCGTTGTGGTTGGGAAGGAGGAATACAGCGTCGTCGTCGGTGGAAGAACTGGTGGCTGTCGAGGACTTGGTCGTGCGAGTGCGTTTGCGCTGAGGGGACGCCTCAGCTTTAACGTCATCGTCAGACTCGGCTCCTCCAAGGGGTTCTAACTCGGCAACAGAATTCCAGAGTGTCAGGAGGTTCCTTGGGGTATATTTTGACGGAAAAGGAACGGACGGCTGAGGGGGAGGGATTTCGAACCTGGGGACAAAGGTGGCTTGACTACACCACTTCGCCTTGTGGAGCAGATGGTGAATGGAGGAGACATGACGCGGCTGAGGCAGCGCAAGGCGCCTTGATGATGCTCAAACACATACACCTAAAAACGTTATTGTCAAACCAGCTAATAATATGCACACTTTTCGGGGCAACATACGACAAATGCGTGCTTGATGTTGCAATTGAAGCGGTTGGACCGCCAGCCGTAATGCCACGACTGGCGAACTCGATTGAATTCGAAGTGGAGAATGGATGGTGGAGAGTCGCCCAGTGCCATTTCAAGCCGCTCGCCTGTCATCCAAGTGCCGAGCGGCACGTCCGTGGACTTGACTTCTGCCGTCAGATTCCCGACGGACACAACTTGGTCAACTTGAATCACGGCTTGGTCAGACATGTCGGACGCTTCGAAGCGGCAATAGCTGACGATTGACGTCGCTGGTGTTGGCCATGCAACGGGACATTCCACCACAATCGAGGACCCGCAAAACGAGTTTGGTCGGTGGGCACCACAGCAATGGGGAAAGCAACGGAGATTCTTGTGTCCCGTGCTCTTGTTGTTCCTGCACAACGAACGACGGAGTTTGTGTCAATGAAGTCGATTGGTGGTCGCAGGTGAGTATGGCTGAACCTTGCTAATAACGTGGCCTATACCTTGTATAGGAGTCGCAAAAGAGCGGCAAGGCGCAGCCTGAGTGAACAAAGTGCGCTGGGTGGGGCGCCATGGGGCCGTGGTGGGGCGGCAACAGGCCAGCAAGTGGTTGAATTACAGTACCAAGGGGATACACAGGGTCACAACAAACTCGGTAAGTTTTTAGTGACATGATGGACAACGACAGGCGCCTTTTGGCAGTTTCAATTGGGACGGAAGACATGACTTTCAATTACGATAATATTGTGCTTCCCTCGAAACGATGAAACTCTCGTCGTAACATAAAATACTGGCCTATATAGCTTGAAACTATTGGAAACTTGAAATAGCTGATGAAGGTTGTCGTAAAGACTTGTATATGTCGCGCCTAATTTGATACATTGGTGAGGTTGATGTCAGGACTTGGCTGAAGAAAGTGGCGGCAGAGTGACTTGGGGCCAGTTAAGCGCAGTGGACTCGAGCGGCCAAAAATCTCAGCCCATCAGGGTCCGTCCGATGCATGAAGAGGACTGTTGTGTTGATTAATAAGACCCGTTTCCACGACGGTGCTCGCTGTGAGTAGCAAGGGCACACACACAACGTTTGAACGATACTCCGCCGTATCTATTATACCTGTAGACCACAAATACATACTGTACTACGTAGTTCGTGTACTAGTCAAAGGTCGCAAGCAATCGAGATTAAGTACTGCTACTACTAGAAGTACGTACTAGTAATTCGCAATAACTCCCCCGCAAAGCGCTGGTATTTCGAGACAACTTTTTGCAGTAAGTAAACAGGGATGACCACCAAGATGATCTGTCCAGAATGTGCGGCAAAGGAAGCCGCCCCGCAGTGCTGTACTTTCGTCCCCTCTTTTTCTGTTTGACGTATTTCTCCCACGACGGGAATATGACGATGTTTGGGGGACGTTGCCTACAGCGCTCTCGCTGTGTTGCTTGCTCGTGTGAAGCGTGGGTGTGCGCTTCGGTGTGCTGTATGTGGACATTACATCCGACGCCCTTGGAGAGGCTATCTTGACACTGCGAGAATGTACCATACTTTATTTAAATAAAAGGAGACAATATTTTGACCAAGTGCCATGGTATTTCAAGCGGTATAGGTCAATTTTGCATGACAGGTGGTGGGACAACCAAGAAATGGTCTCTTGTGCAACTTGCAAACCGATAGCGTAACGGTACAGTAGCAGTGCTAAACGCATATCGAAAGTGCAACTATATATTGGGCCAACACTTTGTCCTATTTGAAATCGTTAAACTTTTCTGAAGTTTTTGCTTTGCTCCGGGCAATTACAGCGACGCCGCCTACCGTCAGGGTCAGCCTGGTTGGTTGACAAGGTTTGTGGTAAGCTGATACTGAATATCGAGAGTTTGACGTGCAGTATGCATGGCGTGCTGTACAACGTGGGTGGCTGGCTGGCTGCACTGGACGGATAGGTCAATGAACTTGTGTATTGGGCGGTTGCTCGCTGTCAAATAACTTCATCGAAATGAGCTTCCCCCACGAAGGGGTGATTATTATCATTTCAGTTGTCACACTTGGTACTGAGCATATACGAATCATACATACTACACGTAGTACCGGTCCACATCACTTGTTTGAACCCTTACGCAAGCATCACGTGGTTGACTGATTTCAGCAAACTGTTTACCTCTTACAGAACCACCAAAGCAAGTGTTTTACAGTTAACCCCCACAAAAATGCTCCATGTGTGCATTAGATTTGGTTGGATAGAATTGATTCGCCAAGTTTCAAACTATTAATGGTTACATTGTCGTAGATTGATGGATGTGGTGTGTTTGCAAGTGGTTCAAAACAGTGAGCAAAGCCAACGACATGCGTGGAGTTCTAGGGGTATAAATTCTAAAAACGAGACTGAAATCAGTGGTACCCAGGATGTCCACGAGCCTAACACAAACAACTGCTGTACCGGTAGAGTAGTATGCGCTGACCGCAAAGTTAGAAACGGAGCACACTATGTGATTAGAAGATAATTGCGGTAACGTTACGGCTGGTTTCCGCTGACATGAATTCACTACGTGTACGTACACCATATTGCCTTCAACAATAATCAATGAGTATGGTTCTTAGGCAGTGTCCAGCGAAGTCGTGAATATATCACAATGACCTTGCTGCTGGCTTCAAATGGCGAGATTGGCAGCTTGGTAACTAAGAGCGCATGACCACTAACTTCTATCCACCATCGAAAGCTCGATTGGTTGAATCGAACAGTGGGGTCGAATTCGTCTGCAGGCAGGTTTTCGACTTTTGGAATACCATAAATATCAAATACACGCTGCGCGGGTGGGGCCAGCTCGTGGACGGCACCAAGGTGAACCCGGAACTGCTGGAGGTGGGCGTCACCGCGTGGGACAACGTGGATTGCGCGTTTTCGTACGATCGCGTGGCTGGACGTGGGGCCATCCAAGACTCGGTGTTGTGTGCCGGGGGCGACGCCGCCCAAGCGTGCATTTTGGGGACGCCGGCGATGCCTTGACCGTGGCGTCTGCCAACGGGGACGACCACCTCGTCGCTGTGTTCAGCTGGAGCGTCGAGTGCGACGCCCAAGGGGTGCCTGGCGTGTACACGCGTTTGTCCAAAGTGCGCTCGTTCGTGGAGCCCTTCGTCGCGAAGGTGTCCCCTCGTTACAGCTTCTAAGGATCAAGGTCATGTGTCGTTGCTGCATCGACTACGCTCTAGATTTGACGTATGTAGACACACGTTAACACCTCAAATGAATGAGTTGGTTGACATGTACTTCGAAGTACTTCGAAGTAGTAGTATGTTATCGGCTGAATGTTGGTCCGGAACAGACATTTGAGGAGTGTGAAATATGGCATGGATCCGGATGGGCATGTATATTTCAGAGCTGATGATACACTGTACCGATACATGACTTGTAGAGAGTAGTGAAGGAACTGACTGATTGACTGGATAATGAAGTTACTTTTGGATTTGTCATCGAGGTCACCGTTGTGAACACGGTAGCCGTCGGTTGTGAACACCGGCGCAAGACAACAAGTATGTTGCTATCAAGTACTTCGAAGTACGAAGTTACGCAGTAGTACGTTCGAATGTAAGTTAAATACTACTAACGTTACGAAGTAGTATGTAAAGTCTGAAAAAGGCAGGATTCGACAAATGACTTTTAACATACTAGTACCGGCAGAGCTCCAGTATCGAATATTGTAAATTCGTGGAATCTGAGTTTTAGTGGTTTACCGTCGAACAAATTTACCTATAACTACTATCAATACCTGGCGCAACAGTCACACATAGTCGTACCGTAGTTTGGGAGATTTCCTACAATTTCATATTAAACCAATGAAAACACTCCCTCCTGTAGAACGATTGGATATTCAATGAGTTGTGATCGAATACTCAATTCTGATTGGCTTAAATTCGACCTAATTCTTAATATATTGCCTTTACTTTTTTTTGCTGCATCACTTGGGATCACTGTCAATTCCGACTTCATTGTGCTCCTACATCCATAATTTTGAGAAGGGAGCTGTAATACGAGTGTCTTCTGTTAATATCTCACGTCTGGTTTTGACTTCGCTTTTGTATAACTAATAAATATTACAACGAACAAGAAAGTCACTTGATTACTGTATATCCTGTCCGACTTTTTTCTACTAATGATATATTATGAGTTGATCATCATTACTTATCCTGGGGATAACAAAAAATATTACGTTTTTTAACTTTAAAACGTTTTGGGGGGAGTCTGGCTGCCGCAAAAAATGTCAGAAAAAACCAGCTTTTGCAGCTTTTCTAAGAAATCGCCAAAAAATGGGTTTTTTCTGTCTGCATACAATATTCGGAGAATTCAATATTTCGCGAAATTTCGCGTTTTTCGTCCAAAAATAAAAGGAGGTTCAAGGGACTTTTTTTCTGAAAACTCGAGACTGAGAATCGTCGAGTTTCTTTCGAAATCAGTTTGATCCAGACAGTAAAAAATAGGTGACAACCAAATTCTTCGAATTACTTTGAACCAAATTTTCGAAATATTAATTGGGCAGAATTTGGGGTGTGATCCAGACCCACCCTTATTGAAACTTTCTTTTCTTACCGTAAGTAAACACACAGCTCAAAATTCCTATTCATGACTTAGAATGGCACAAAAAATGGTCTTATTGTTCATTGCAAAACTGTGTAATTGGTCCAGAGGCCAAATTGGTATTTTACGGTTGTAGTTGCATAATATACTCTTTGCGTGTTGATCAATCATGTTTAAGGGTGCGTCTGGTCACATTTCAAAAATAATATTCCATTTTCTCGCAATATGGGATTAACCAAAATGCCATTTTCAAAATGGAGGTGAAAAAGGTCGATTTTGTAATATGGCGTTTTGGACCTCTTCAACGAGTAAATCCCACTAGGAATTATTGGATTTGGGTTAAAACTCTTCAAGCAAGACATGTTTCAATTTTGATCAGATTAATCGAATTCGGTCCCAAAATGGCGTTTGGAGCCTGAATATTGTAATATTTCACGTTGCCAGACGGGCCCTAATAATTATATTGTGGATTCGATACGAATTTCCAGACCCCGTCGAATCGAATCTCGTCGCCGAATCGAATCACGAATCGACGCTATTGGCTAATCCATTTTTTGAGTGGATTTGATTGTCTCTTGCAGAAAAGACAAGTATATTCAACCAATCAGATCTCCGGCGTGATTTAATATTGTTGTTAAACAAACCAGGCGAATCTTGGAAGTTTATAGCGAATTCACAATATAATACTACTACTTAGTATAATACTTCGAAGTAGTAGTAATACATAAAAAACGCCCATATATTAATCCTGCTATTAAAAGTAATAATATTCGTCTAATTTTAAAAAGTTATCCTCGGCGAGATTCGGTTCGACGGGGTCTGTAAAATGAAATTTCCACCGAATCCACAATATTACAGTACGTGCTACATAATTCTGGCAATGACGCAAAAGGCAAAGAACAACATTCTCTCGATAACACGTTATCCCAAAATTATTTATTTGATCATATGTTTATATACATATTTACCCTCACACCAATATCCAGTATCCAGTACGAAAAAACTCAATTGGTCTGAATTTGGGCCAATCCAACAATTCTACGTATTTACTACTACAGTAGTACGCCGGAGTCATAAATCTCAACTTTCACAGTATGGAGTGTTTGGGGTACGCACACTGATTGGTCGGTTTCCACCAATCACAATGCAATATCCATGACCCTCTCCTTGTAGAATCCCCTCGTGTTATGGCGGCGGCGGTGAAGCCTTCATCGTCTTTGGAGTGGAAGCGCATCATCCATGCTATGCGAGATCCAGGGCGGAGCGAGTACTCGTTCGTTCCGCACAAATACATCCATTCCACGCCAATCCTGTCCCCGACGCCAGGTGGCATGGACTTTGATATCGGAACCGCCGACGAAACCACCCCAATCAATGCCAGGTACCTTGACATATTTCTAATGTGACTGTCACCAGTATCTCACACTGCTGGTATTTCATAGACAACATGCAGTGGAACATGCTCGACCGACGAGATTCGGTGCACTACAGTGCCGTCATGTACTGGTTCATCCTCATCGTGTTGCTCAGCTTCATGTGCGTCGAGTGGGTCCTACTCTATCCGCTGTCGCCCTCGCGACTGTACAACATCCAAGTCGACATGTGCGACGGCCGCGTGAACCTCGCCGAGTTCTTGTTCCAGCAGATCCTTCCACTAGGCATGCTCCTGGGTTCGTTGATCACGTTCAAGCTTGCCTTGGGTCGGGCCACGATGCTCGAGCTCGCCGCCATTGTTGGTTGTCTGTGGTCGTGGCGTTTGGCCAAGTCACGCTCCTCGTTGGTCGCTACTGGCTCGGCGTGGCCATCTCGGTCTTATCCATCGTGGTGCTGATTCTCCTCGCAGAAGTCAGCGACGACGACTTCCGGGGCCGCGCACTCACCGCGTCGCAGCTCTTCTGCATGCTCGGCGGCCACATGGTGTACATTGGCGTAGGACAGTTCTTCGTATACTTGAGCACGTGCTACGTGAGCTTCAACCTGAACGAGTGGAAGATCATTGCGACCATGGGGG